GGGAATAGGTTTCGTGCCTTGGCCTACTCCCCCTGGCGGCCCAGTGGCCGCCATCCGTCTGAGGCCACTGTATAGTCACATTTGGGCCCCCAGTGACGAGACACACAGAGCCTCACGGGATGAGGGTGGAGCCGGGCTTGTCCTCCCCACCCCAACGAGACCCCAAGTTATCGCCCACAAACAGCCTCTCTGGCTCCTCATCAAGCTGCTTAATGGCCATGATCCCAGAGACTCAGAAACAAATCTCAAAACCCAGTGGCGTTTGGCAGAAATGCATCTGGACTCCACAGTACGTTACTGTCGCCTGGCCACCCCAGGGAGGAAAGGGTGTTGTCCCTCTGCCTGCTCCCTCTTGGCGACTTGGTGGCTGTCATCCTCCAGAGGCCATTGGACAGTCAGGCTTGGGCCCGCAGTGACGAAACTTGTTGGGTCTCACGGGATGTGGGGGGAAGGGGGAACCGGGCCTGTCCTCCCCACCCTAACGAGACCCCCAAGTCATCGCCCACAAACGGCCTCTCTGGCTCCTCATCAAGCTGATCAACGGCCTTGATCCCAGAGACCCAGAAACAGATCTTGAAACCCAGTGGCTTTTGTCAGAAATGTGTCCAGACCCCGCAGTAGGTTACTGTCACCGGGCCACCCCAGGGAGGAAAGGGTTCTGTCCCTCCGCCTGCTCCCTCTTGGCGACTTGGTGGCTGTCATCCTCCAGAGGCCATTGGACAGTCAGGCTTGGGCCCGCAGTGACGAAACTTGTTGGGTCTCACGGGATGGGGGGGGGGGGGGGGAGGTGGAACCGGGCCTGTCCTCCCCACAATAACGAGACCCCAAGTCATCGCCCACAAACGGCCTCTCTGGCTCCTCATCAAGCTGATCAACGGCCTTGATCCCAGAGACTCAGAAACAAATCTCGAAGCCCAGCAGCTTTTGTCAGAAATGTGTCCGGACCCCGCAGTAGGTTACTGTCACCGGGCCACCCCAGGGAGGAAAGGGTTCTGTCCCTCCGCCTGCTCCCTCTTGGCGACTTGGTGGCTGTCATCCTCCAGAGGCCATTGGACAGTCAGGCTTGGGCCCGCAGTGACGAAACTTGTTGGGTCTCACGGGATGGGGGGGGAGGTAGAGCCAGGCCTGTCTTCCCCACCCCAATGAGACCCAAAGTCATCACCCACGAATGGCCTCTTTGGCTCCTCATCAAGCTGCTCAACGGCCATGATCCCAGAGACTCAGGAGCAGATCTCTAAACCCAGTGGCTTTTGGCAGAAATCCCTCCAGATTTAAGTGTTAAAATTTCAGAACTTCAAAACCACATGGCCCTACTGCAGCCACACAACATCATATGTTATTCATAACCAGCAATAGAACACAAATTGTCTATTGTTGCCTTTTCAGCAGATCTGAGTGTTGGGGTAAAATCTTAAATAATGGTGGGTCTGGTGTCGAAATAGTGAATGTGATCAAAGTAGAGAGAGAGTAATGTGGAAATCATCTGCCCCACAGGCAGGGGGAGGGTGTGGGATGGGGGTATACTGGGATTTTTGGTGGTGGAGAATGGGCACTGGTGAAGGTACGGATGTTTCATTGTATGATTGAGACTTAGACCCAAAAGCTTTGTAACTGCTCTCACGGTGATTCAATAAACAAAATTATAAAAAAATAGAAAAAGAAAAAAAAAGTAAGGTGGAGTTCATGCACAATTCAATCAGCTAATCAGTGGCTGAATAAATAGCAGTACTCCTACAAAAAAAAAAAAAAAACAACTGGTGTCAGAACACAGGGCCCACGATAAAGGAAAGCTGGAGGTGCATGTGGGGAGCTTAAGGGAATCGGAGCTGGGCAGAAAGTGAGATGGCGGAAGCAGTTGTGAAGATGGATGGATACTGGCTTCAAATTGGGATTTATTTTCTCATTTTCTGTCCTTAGAAGAAGAATGCGGCCATCCGCCTTTAGTTCTGGCATGGGATTGGGAATGGCCTACTCCAACTGTCAGCACAATTTTCAGTCTAGGTATCTTGTAAATGGGAAATATGTCAAAGAAAAGGAGGAGTGACTACAATGGAGGCATCCCAGTAGGAGGAGAGTGAAATCCTCAGGAATTTACTCCTCAGGAAGTGCCCTGGAGTACACTGACATTCTTCCAGCATAGTTTTACTGGTGAGGCTTTAAATTCCCCTCCCCCCCTCAATGTTTATATATTTGAAACCTAGTCTGTTTCTTGTTTTGTATTTTCTCTCTGGAAATGGCAAGGAGGTGGTCTTAAAAGAAATAAATTTTAAAAAGGCAACAAAACCATTTTAAAAAATCAGTTTGCAAAGTCATATGCACAGCATAATCCCATTTTTATTTTTCTAAGTCATATTAAAACCCAAACTGTTGGTGGTTAAAACAAGATAATGAATATCAAATAATGCAGTTTTGCTCTTTTAGCCTAGTTCTTCTGTGCTTCTTTAAATAATATTTTTATATTTCTAAGATGGAGGAAAGAGCTATGATCCAAGATATGTAATTCCTGAGGCTGGAAAAGATAAGAGACTGATTACAATTCAGGAATGTAGTCCCACTAACAGCTTGATTTGAGCTCAGTGACACTGATAGTGGTTTTCTGGACCCCAAAATTGTGAAAGAATATATTTCTGTTGATTGATTCAAAGAGGCATAGAAAACTAATATAGCTCCTATGTTAAAGTTTGCATTTGGAAATGGTGTCTCCTGAGGTGAATAAGTTACTAGAGATAAGTCACTGGAGAAGTTACCTATTGTGAGATGAGTAATTAAAAAGAAAAACTCTTTTAGAACCAATACTCATGCGGCCACTAGTTACTGATGTTTCCATGTGGGAAGCAAACAGTGGTTATCCCTCCAGGGCTCTGTTGAACAGGCACAGAAAAAGCCACATTTAACAATGTATCTCCAATAGTGCAGTCAAGGTGAAAGGACACTCAGGGCCAGAATTGGGCCCCAGGAATGCCCCTGATTTCTCTCTTCCTAATGAACAATCCAGAGACTATAAAACCAAGCTCCTGGAAGCGTGAGGCCACAAATGCGGCCGTGCGGCCTCTTATTCTCTAGTTCTCACTCTTGGAGAACCCGGCAGGCTACTGAGAGAGTCCTGCCTGCATATATGCCTGACTGGGAACACCTGTAAAGGGATTAGAGGCTGCCCCAAAGCCTCCATCCTTCTCGGAGAGCCTGGCAAGCTACCGAGAGTGTCCCGCCCACACGGCAGAGTCTGGCAGGCTACTCATGGCATACTCGATATGCCAAAAACAGTAACAATGATGGTCCTCATTTCCCTGACCCTGAAAGAGCTTCCAGTATGCCATTGGGCTACACTAGCACGTAACAGGGACGAATGGAGATGTTACTGGTGCCCACTCGAGCAAATCGATGAACAACGGGGTGATAGTGATAGTGATAGTGAATGAACAACTTACCCAGCATGTGGGGAGAGCAAGATATAGGGATGCCAGCTCATTCTGTCCCTACTCCAACCTCAGGATGCTCTGGGGACCTTCATGCATACAACACAGTTCAACACATTTTCTGCTTGAAGTAAATAGTGGAAGACAGACAGGTCTTCACCTACATCCTAAATTTCCTAGAATAAGAGAACCTCCAAAGAAGACAAGTCAGATAAGCCCCTCTGTGACTGAACATTTTTCTTTGGTGAAGATTCCAGAATTAATGAAAGCTACCATTAGCTTTAAAAAATTACTTCTAGAATGAAAAACTAGTTTCCCCTTTATTCTTTTAACAACAGTTTGTCTCAGTGGTTGAGCCAAATCCACCTCTGTTCTACTCTGCTCACATTTCTTCATATGGATTTTCCATTTCCTCTTCTTTCCCACTTTCTACTCCCTCTTCCTAAGCCCTCATCATCAAGAGACATAAAAAGAGACTGTCCCTTTTTCCTTATCTTCTCTGTGACTTAACCCTCTCAAATGAGGTCCGTGTGCTTTAGGGGCTGATCTACTCAAAGGCTAAGCAGACAGGATTCCTTTCAGCTGGCCTATTGCTCATCATGCTAACCAAGATTTCAGTCTAAGACCCTTGATGCCCACCCCCAAGTAATACCTACCTGTTGAGTAAGGGAGAGAGTTTCAGCTGCAGAACCAGAGAATACTGCCTTTGCTAGCAATCAGTGAGTAGCAAACAAATATTGGGCACCCAGGGGCCAAAAGCAGGTTTAGAAGTAAACAGGCCAGTCACTCACTGTCCATGCCCTCTTAATGCTGACAGCCTAAAGGACTTTCATCACAATGGCCCAAGTTGCATTCCTTCCCAGGCTGGTCAGATTAGCCTGAAGCAGTGTGGTAAATGCATGCCAATGAAAAGCATCTTGTTCAGGAATAATGAGAGTTATTAGTCTGGCACTCTGCAGTTTCTGTGTGCATTGTCATGTCTGACACAAGGCAACAGTGTGTGGGGCTGGAGATGAAGTTTCCCATTCTGTAGAAGGCAGCATGCCACTCAAGATAAAGGAGATTTTCAGGGAGGGAAAACACAACCAAGTAAGCCATTTCATCAGTTTGCTCTAGAGGACTATGGGTATAATTCTGTATAATTCTGACCTGGAAGAAACACCACAATTCCTTATATTCCTTATGTCATTGTCAGTCAAGAGGCTCACACAGTGTGAGAAAACTGCAAGAAAGCCTCTCAACCCAAGGTCTTGGTGGTTCTTGCCACAGCTTTGGTTTCCAAATCACAGTGGCCTCATAGTCACCCCAGCTCTTTACTTGGAAGCCAAGTCTGGGGTATCAGATTCCTTGTAGATATTGTTTAGACTAATAAGACCTGTCCAGCCCTGTTTAGACATCAACCACTGTTGCTTTGACAGTTAAGTTTAGCCACAGCTGAATAGTCCCTAGCCAAAAACACACAGACATCATTTCCCATAAGGACATTATCTCTCCCTGGGTTCCTGGCCTTCAGAGACATGCCTTCTCACATCTTTTTGTCCACAAAAACAGACCTCTGCAGCCAATATCTTAAAGATTTTGACTATGCGTATAACAGAGGAAGAACAGTCGGCTTCATATTCTATTCATAACAGAGATAACAAAATCATACTCAAGGATTCCAATACCACGCTGCCCTCCTCCACTGCAGTGACTAGTAAATAAGTCACACCAAAAGAGGCCAACACACCAAGTGGGTGGCATGTTACCCGGGAGGTTTCTCTTCCCAAAGAGAGAAAGAACTATAAAACTCTTGATTATTGTATCCTAAGAAATTACCTCTTTGAAATTACAACCTGGAAGGGCAGGTATGCTGGTGGCAGGAAACTCTGGGCAGCAAGCTTAGCAGCCACAGTAAGCAGGAAAGTTCCTTTCAGCCAAACTTACCCAAACAGGTGCCCCAGTGAAAGAGACCCATGCGATTCTAGAGGATGACTGGAAGTGGAACTTGGAACTGTATCTCAGAATCTGTGCCAGCACAGAGTACCTCCCTCCATAGGTACACTGGTGGCATAAGGTGTGGCCTCTGGGGGCAGCCACCAGTTGATTTCCCCTTTCATAGTGCATTGAACCCATACCTTAGTCTCCTATCCTGAAGTCTTAGGAGGGCAGTCTGGCTACATTAACCACATTAGGTCAACAATCCACTAGGGCACTCCAGTCAAAATACCCACAAAACTCACCAAAATAACAGTGAACACAAGAATCTGTACAAATCCAATCTAAAAGGACACATCACCCAAATCAGTGCTAGAGGTTCACATAAGTCACACAGAAGCACCAAAGAGGTAAGTATTATCCTTGAAAGGGAAAGAGGAGATCAAAGACTAAGCTCATCCAGAGACCTCCCTCGCAGTGAAAGGGGAGCACTGATAGTGAACTGGTAAACAAAGGAGCACCCTTAGATTTACAGCAGACTTATCAGATGAAACCATCTGGGCCAAAAGATAGTGGTGAGATATAGTAAAAAAAAAAAAAAAAAAAAAACCTTAATGAAATGAATGCCTCACCAAGAATACTTTATCCAGCAAGACTTTTTTTCCTCAGACTCAAAGGAATGATACACTACTTCATGGATAATCAAGAGCTCAGGAATTTCATAGACTCAAGACCAACATTAAAAGAAGGACTGACGGTTATGGAGAAGTCACAAGGAATGGAAGTATTATTCAGCTAACTGACGTAGTGACATCTGCACTTGTTTGTTCATTGCAACAGTCTTTACAATAGCCAGAATCTGGAAAAAACCTGAATGCCTGAGAACAGATGACTGGTTAAAGAAACTTTGGTACACCTACACAATAGAGTACTATGTAGCTGTTAGAAAAGACGAAGTTATGAAATTTACATACAAGTGGTACTACATGGAAAGTATCATGCTAAGTGAAATGAGTCAGAAAGAGAGGGACAGACATAGAAAGATTGCATTCATCTGAGGAACATAAAGTAACAAAATAGGAGACTAACACCCAAGAATAGCTGAGATAAGTACCAGGAGGTTCACTCCATGGCTTGGAGGCCAGCCGCAAACGCTAAGGGAAAAGGCAGCTCAGATAGAGAAAGGAGCACCAAATAAAGGGTGTTGGGAGGATCCTCCCAGGATGGGAGATACATGCTGAAAATAGACTATAGACCGAACCTGATTGCCACTCAATGCCACTTTTGCAAACCACAGCACCCAAAAGGAGAGAGAGAACAAAAGGGAATGTTCTGCCACAGAGGCAGGGTGGGATGGGTGAGATGGTGGATGGGAGGTATACTGGGATCCGTGGTGGTGGAAAATGGGCATGGTGGCGGGATGGGTATTTGATCATTGTATAACTGAAACCCAAGCACAAAAATTTGTAAGTCTACAACTGTACCTCATGCTGTCTCACTAATAAAAATTTTTAAAAAAATAATTTATAGGTTAAAAAATAATAAAAATAAATAAGTACAAGAAGGACTGAAGGGTCTCTTGTAAGACAAGACAAATCCCACAAACACAACAAACCTCTACAGAAAGATGGCACAAAACCCCATAACCTCTCTCTCAATGTCAGTGGTCCAAATGCACCAATTAAGAGACACAGAGTGGTGAAATTGATATAAAAATTCAACCCAACATTCTGCTGCCTACAAGAAACACATCTGAACAGTCAGACTCAAAGTCAAAGGATGGAAAACAATTCTTCAAGCAAACAATTCCTTCAAAAAAAATCCAGGCTGGCCATACTAGTATCCAAACAATATAGATTACAGGCTGAAAAAGATTAGAAGGGACAGCAAAGGGCATTTCTTAATAATCAAGGGATATGTACATCAGGAAGAAATTACATTCCTAAACATATGTGAATCCGATGGGGGACCAGCAAAATACTTAAAACAACTACTAATAGACTTCCAGGAGGACACTGGTAGCAACTGGTAGCAACACAATAGTAGCTGGTGACTTCAACACTGCCTTATCACCTCTTGATATATCAACAAGACTAAAACTCAGCAAGAAAGTACCAGCCCAGAAGGAAGAAATTGAAGAGAGAGGGCATATATATATTTTCATCCCCCAAAAGCTGGATACACATTTTCCTCCAATGCACAAGGAATATTTTCCAAGATAGACCACATGGTAGGCCACAGAACATACCTCAATAAAATCAAGATGATAGACATTGTTTCAACTGTATTTTCAGACCATGATGCACTGAAAGGTAAAGGTAAAGGTAAAGGCCCTCCCGTTGATCGTCGATTTGCTCCAGTGGGCCCAGTAACGTCTCCATTGGAGACTTTGTTGTTACTGTGTCTGGCATATCAAATTCTCTCGGTAGCTTGCCGGGCTCTCCGAGAGGGGCGGAGGAATCAAACTCAGGTCGGCCATGTTGGCCGCTTGTAAGGCGAACGCCCTACCTGCTGTCACACACAGAAATGAAGAATCAAATCAAACACCTGGAAATTGGGGGGTATGGTGCCACCAGAAGGTCAATCTGTACCTGTGAGACAAGTGCATCAGCAGCCTGATGGCGCCTTCAAACTTCCAGATACCCCAAAATTGCTGCTGTGCCTTTGGCCAGACCCCAAAAACTTGGGGTAAAGTTTACCAAGAAATTAAACAGCCAAAAGTTAGGTATGTGGGAGACACACCCACAAACCACCTCCGGCTCAGCTAAGTAATTGGAGGCATGGCTTCTCTGGTTCCTGATCGAACTGCTTAACGGCCATGATCCCAGAGACTCAGAAACAAATCTCAAATCCAACGGCTTTTGGCAGAAATGCGTCCAGTCCCTGCAGTAAGTTACAGGCTCTGTGCCACCCCAGGAGGGAACAGGTTTTGTGCTTTGGCCTGTTCCCCCTGGCGGCCAAAGGCCACCATACTCCAGAGGCCACTGGACAGTCAGGTTTGGACCCGAAGTGGTGAGACATGCGGGGCCTCATGGGATGGGGGTGGAGCCGGCCCTTTCCTCCCCATCCCAACATGACCCCAAATCGCTGCCCATGAACGACCTCTCTGGCTCCTGATCAAGCTGCTTAACGGCCATGATCCCAGAGACTCAGGAACAAATCACAGAACCCAGCGGCTTTTGGCAGAATTCCCTCCAGATTTAATTGTTAAAATTTCGGAATTTCAAAATCACGCAGTCACTACTGCAGCCCCGCAACATCAAATGTTATTCATAACCAGCCATAGAAAACAAATTGTCTACCATTGCCTTTTCAGCAGATCTGAGTGTTGGGGTAAAATCCCAAATAATAATGGTGGGTCTGGTGTCAAAATATTGAATGTAATCAAAGTAGAGAAAGAGTAAAGTGGAAATCATCTGCCCCACAGGTAGGGGGAGGGTGTGGGATGGGGATATACTGGGGTTTTGTGCGGTGGAGAATGGGCACTGGTGAAGGCACAGGTGTTTCATTGTATGACTGAGACTTAAACCTGAAAGCTTTATAACTGCTCTCACGGTGATTCAATAAATAAACTTATACAAAAATTTTTTTTAAAATGTAAGGTGGAGTTCATGCCCAATTCAACCAGCTAATCAGTGGCTGAATAAATAGCAGTATTCCTACTTTTAAAAAAAACCTGGAAATTAAACAGATCATCGCTGAACAACCCGTGGGTTAGAGAGGAAATCAAACAAGAAATCAAAAGAGATTCCTGGAAACAAATGAGAATGAGGACACGAGCTACCAAAACTTGTGGGACACAGCTAAAGCAATGTTAAGAGGAAAGTGCATAGCTCTGCAAGCGTTTATCAGGAAGAAAGGGCCCACATAATTAGCTTGACTTCATAGCTTAAGATCTTAAAAAATTACCAACAAAAGGAGCCCAAACCAGGCAGGAGGAAAGAAATAATAAAACTTAGAGCAGAAATTAACGACATGGAAACCCAAAAAACAATTTGAAGGATCAATGAAACCAAGAGCTGGTTCTTTGGTGGGGGGAGGGGGCAGGGAGGAGATTGATAAACCACTAGCAAGATGCACAAAGAAAGAAAGAGAGAACCCTAATAAACAAAATCAGAAATGAAAAGGAGAACATCACAACAGAAACCACAGAAATTCAAAAGATTATCAGAGATTACTTTGAGAAGTTGTATGCCATGAAACAAGAGAATCTAGAAGAAATGGATAAACTCTGGATTCCTGTAACTTCCCAACGCTGAACCAAGAAGATTTAAAATATCTAAATAGACCTATCACTATCAAGGAAATTTAAATGGTGATCAGAAATCTTCCCAGAAACAAAATCCTAGGTCCACATAGATTCATTAGTGAATTCTTCCAAACCTGTAAAGACAACCTATTGCCAGTCCTTTTCAAGATTTTTCAGGAAATCAAAGAAACAGAAACACTCCCAAACAGTTTCTATGAGGCACATATCACCCTGATACCAAAAGCATACAGAGACACCACAAAAAAAGAAAATTACATGTTGATATCCATTATAAACATGGATGCAAAGATCTTCAATAAAATATTAGCAAATAGAATCTAACATCTTAACCAAAAGATCATGCACTATGACCAAGTGGGATTCATCCTGGGGATGCAAGGATGGCTTAACATTTCCAAGTCAATCAACATAATTCATCAAATCAATAAAAGAAAATATAAAAACTACATCATCAAGTCAATAAATGCAGAGAAAACATTTGACAGGATCCAGTACCCATTTATGATGAA